ACTTGTAATAAAGTTTAATGTGGAAGAACAAGGTGCATTTAACCAAAGCTGTAAACATCTCTAATTCTATTTAAAACTATAGGGTCCAGTACATTAATGTTTAACAATCAGACACAAAATTGGTGTGAAGCTAATCGAGCTGTGTTTATTAGAAAGTGGAGGCCAAGTCATCTTTTATCAATGACAACAGAAGGAGCAGAAAACTGCAGTGTCCCCCGACCCCCCCACCCCACCCAGGCATTAATTAAGAGTCTTCCCCAAATTGCCACCCCATGGAAAGACACTGATTGTTTCTGGGAAAATCCGCTGAGCTGATAACACGGGGCTCAGTGCCAATGTCTGTCAGCCCTGTGTATTTGGGGAAATCACTTTCCCCAGCAAAACAAATTATTTTTAAAAAATGCAAAATGTACAATTAATTCAGAAAGAGCAAAGGCTCAACTTCTATTCTATTTGACCTCTGCAGAGTGCCCACTGCTGAGGGCTTCCTTCTTCGAGAAACTCCCAGACATGGTTTTCACCAGCCCTCTCCCACTCCTCTGATTGCTTGGTTTCCCCTGGCCTGCTTCAGGCTCCTCACCGGCTCCTGGAGCTGCCAGCAGGGGGCTCCCTATCACTCAGGCCAAGGCACCATCTCTCCACACTGGGCTGCCTCTCCCTGGGGATTTTGCTCACTCTCAGGCTTTGGCTGTGACATGTATTCTGAGGACAGCCCCCAAACCTCCAGGGGTTCCAGATCCACATTTCCCAACAGTTTGCATTGATGCCACTCAAAACATGGTCTGGATTCAGAAGCATGGACATTCCTTGGGGGCTTGTCAAAAACACAGACTCTTGAGCCCCACAGAGACTTCCTGAACCACGATCCACAGCTTAACGAGATCCGGCGATGTGTTAAAGTTTAGGGAGTCCTTGTCTATCCTACCTATCTGGACATTCCATCATAGCTCACGTTCAACTTTGCAGAAGGCAGGCGGAAAGCAGAAGGCAGAAGGCAGGCTCTTCCTCCAAACCGCGAATGTCTTTGTTTTCCCACCAATGATTAGCTTCTGTTCAGTGTATGGGGTGGGGGTAGGGGGTGGGATGGCGAGTCAATATCCCACCATCCCCCAACAGCCTCACCTTGTAATGGGCTAAGAATGACACAGAGCTGGGTCCCACCTTCTCCCCCAGGAAATACAGGGATACTGAAAGTCATCATGTTCTATACGGAAGCCACCCTAAACTTCACAGCCACACAAAAGACTCCCTCCAGTATCCCTGTGATGTGGCTCAATTGAATCTCCATCCCTTGTCCTTCTCCTATTGTCACCAGTGCTGCTTAGTACTACGCCAGGCCTGCAGGTGTCCATACTCCAAGCCAGAGGGTACCTCCATCAGGAGATCAGTCCCGAAACCTGACAGTCCCTCTCCATCGAGAAGGGTGTCTTCAGGGTCCTGAGAAGGCAGGCTCAGTGGAAAGGTACAGAGCAGAGCAGAGCTCGTGGCTCCAAGTCCCTCATAGGACATAATGTAAATGGACCCCTTGGCTAGTGAGGCTCAGGGCAACTCTTTTGCTTCCCGACCTGGGAAGTAACTCGGATGCATACTATGGCAGTCAGAATTTTCGCCATTGCAACTGGATGAGCTTGAATAAAACTAGGACTTAGAAGGTAGGAAAATAGGGTAGTTGACTGAATCAAAAGAAGATCTAAAGGAAAGAGAAGTCCGGGGGATTCTAGGGTCTGGGGGTAGGATTCTGTGCTTTCCTCCCTGCTTCTCTCTCAAAGTCTCCTTCATTCTTGAAGGCTTCTCTACTCATCAGAGACATGGCTAGAGGCAGATCTGGTACGCGGCATCCTGGCTTCGCTTCCCAAGGGAAAGATGGTTTGTTTCTCCCAAGGATTCTGGTTAGTCCAGACCAGGCTTCTTGCAAGCTTTGGACCTTTTTTTTTTTTTTTTTTCTTTTTGTGTGTCCCGGAGCATGAGCTCCAGCTCATGGTTGGCCCAGCCTAGGTTGTCGTCATGCATATCAAAGGCTGAGTGATGAACAGGGGCGTGAATCGTCCCTAAAAACATCAACCGGTTTAGTGTTCTTATCCCAAGTGAGTGTTTGGGCTTATCGATGTGTGGGATGACCCAGATGACTATGGACTGAGAAATACCAAGGGTCCCATGTCATTTTCATTCCAGCAAGTATCAGGAATGGTGGGAGCGGGGCTGCTGGCTTTTTCTGACTCACCCTGTGAGCTAACAAAATCATGATGTTTTATTGAAGACATGATCCCAAAGAAATCCCAATCCTTCCCACCACACCTGCTTTAACTCAGAGCATGGGGATGCTGTTTTTCCGTTCGGGAGACCTTGCCTCCTGCCATGTTTCCATGTTTCCATGCAATGCCTGGCCTAGGTCAAATTCACCACCAAATTTTAGAGAACCTATGAGCGATGGGTTCCTGTTTTGAGTTCACTTAAATGTACAAGTGATTGTCCCCTTTGTAGACTGCTTTAATATAGTTGTTTCAATAGACGCTTGAGAGTAAAAGCAAGATGAAGAGCTTTTCCTAATTTCTATTTGATATGCTTCCCCTTTCTTATCGTTAGAAATGTTAAGGCATGGTTATCGTCATGTCTAAATATGGTAAGTATGCCAACCATATTTGATAGAGAATAATGAGTAGACCCATTTTCTAAGTTTACTATGATAATGAAGTCGAGATTTATCTCCCCAAAGAAGCCCCAGGGACAGATCATCCATTGCTTCTAGTTGTGAGCTGAACTGGGATGGTTTGCTTCTGGAGATAATGGTGGGATGAGCTCTGCTTGGATGTGGATGGTACCTTCCAAGATTCCCTCGGGAAGCATTTTCAGTAGGGGAGATGGTCTGTGCAGGCTCCTGTCATCCTCTCTGTCCAGCTGGCCCCCCAGTCCCATAGCCCAGGGTGGATTTATGCCACTGTTACAAGAATGTTGGAGGAAACGTCTGAGTTTGACTCTCTACTGATGACCTGTTTGACTAACTTGCAGCTACCAGCTCTAACATGTGCCCTTCTTCATGGCATGCATTTATTTCCATCTATGATGGCCCTATGCTCCCTCTGAATTTAAGGAGAAGGTTTGAGGCTGACTGAAGTTCAATTCAGTTCTGTGGAAGCCTGGAGGCTCCCTACCCTCTTGCCTGTCCCCACAATCTTCTCTTCATGTGCCCCACTCTCCACCCCCACCGGGCACCCCAGGGTCCCACTAGCCTGTATGGCTCCTCGTGCAAATGAAGAAGTCACCCTCCTTCCTCAAAACACCACAGAAGCATATTCTGCAGGAACACCGCCATGATAAAATAAGATATGCTGTCCATGATAATTATGATAGGAATTGTACGCCAACCATATATTCTGCTCCCCTAAAGGATGATCTGGGAAGTTCTAGTGAATTCTTCCAAGTGGTATTTCTTCTTCAAAAGCTGTGTGGTTTATTCACTATCTTTGGAATTTGGCAGAGGGGAAGGGAAGGAGATGCAGGTAGAGGTCAAAGAGAATGACTTCCTCTTTGTAAAGTCAGGCTATTTCTGCTTCTAGAAAATCTACCCGCTCCCAATCTGGACCCTTTCCAATAAGCCACAGGAGATACTTATAAGCTATCATGGGTCTTCAGGAGTGTTACTGTAGAGCTAAGTTAAGGAACAAACATTTATTTTTTGAAGCTATGGTAAGGAGAGCCTTACACTGAAAAGAAACTTCATTCTGAAGATACGTACTGGCTGTGGCATGAGCGTTAACCTGGTGTAGTGGGAAGCAATGTATTCTACCCAGAATCTGGGAGTAGTCCTTATCCCATTACATGAACTCTATGGCAGGTTAGGTCACCTTACTACAAACATGAGTCTGAGGTAATTAGGGAATAAGACACTTGACCGAGTTCACTTGGCTATACAGAGGGGCACAACTCACATTCAAGGTTGTGTTTAAAATATATAATTTACCATATATACATGGTCCATTACAAAGCCGAACAATTTCTACAGTGTGCTATAAGTGAGCACCCAGAGCACACCCCACAAAAAGTGTCCTTAACAATACAGTCAACAGCATGTCTCTCTTCTAGAAGGTCTCCGTCTTCAGGGAGATCCTGGGTGTTGTAGCAGTCACACAGGGCAACTTCCGCACAAATCTCCTTGACCCGCGTCCCTGCCTGAGCCCAAGCCAGACACGCGAGAAACCCCATGTGAAGTTGGCTTGGGAGACGTGCTCTACAAGAGTAGGGTCTTTAAAACACATTTTTCCTGCTCAGCTTGCACCTCCTACTCTCCTAGCCCAGGGGAGCCAGGCCGAAAGCTCTGCTCACACAGGAGCGGGCATGCAGTCAGAGTAGTAACTCTGTACACTTCTAAGAGGCCCACTTCCACCAGTGTGTCCATGGATGGCTGGCTCCCTCTCTTGCTCCTTTGGAAAACAGTAAGAACTTTCTGGAGAACAAGAGTTTCTATAGCAATGCGGGTCCACAGTGCGGAAGTCCTTTTGAATGGTGTGCTACTCGCCCTGCAGCCTTGGGGGATTCCGGGTGGGGAAATGGGCCCTGGCATATTTGGAGATAGTGGGTTGTTAGCTTAGACAGCAAAGTTCCCCACAATCTGCTGCTGCCCTTAAATCTCCAGGGTCAGCGCATCTGTTTAGAACAAGAGATGCTTTCTTGAGTGACCGTTTGCAGTAAGCAGTTTGCTCCACTCGAGGTGCCCTAGAAATGCTCTCTGACCTTCTGAAAAAACAATTAGTACGTATCTACCATCTCACACTTGGGCCTATAATGGCATTTCCTCTAGCTGTATACTATGAGCTTGATATCACAAATACAGGAAGAGTAGAAGATTAAAATAAGATTTTAAAAAAGATTAAAACCCAAAGAAAAGAGAAGAAAACATGAAGGGGTTTGGCTCAGCAGAAAATCTCCTTGGGTGCTCTCCGAATCAGAGTCCAGACTGCTCGGGGCTCAGACCCAGACATGTCCCATCCTCGGATATCCGTCCTGGGAGATCCGTCCAAGGGCTGCGGCCCCTACTTTTTTATGGAGAGGAGCCTTGTACCCCACCACACAGAAGGCACAAGGGAAAATACAAAAATAAGGGTTTTGTTTCCAAGGTATCATAAATAACTGGGGTGGCATGTATTAAATAGGACCACGGAAGAGGACCACGGAAGAAGATGCCACGTTACAGCTTGTTCTCCTCAAAGAGGATCTGGGCATAGACGGTGCTGGTGGGGAGGCCTTTGGCAGCCCGGTGGGGTTTGACCAGCTCCAGCTCAGCGTAGGTCAGGCTCTCCTCCGCGATCTTCGGCTAGAAGACAGAACACAACACAACTCTAGCTGACCACAGGGAGTTCCACATCATACCTTCTTTCACTGGGCGTGCGCTTTCACTGCATTCTGGGATCCAAGGGGGGAAGAGATGGACATAAGTTTTCCAAGGATAGATAAAACCTCAATAACATAATAATACATATCTGTCTTCTAAAGAACATTATGCCCTGCAATGAGACAGCATGAATTATTCTTAACTTGACAAAGAACACTAACAAAAAATGATTAAACATTAGGCTACAAGGGCGCCTGGGTGGCTCAGTCATTGGGCGTCTGCCTTTGGCTCAGATCATAACCCCAGGGTCCTGGGATCCGGCCCTGAGTCAAGCTCCCTGCTCGGCAGGAAGCCTGCTTCTCCCTCTCCCATTCCCCCTGCTTGTGTTCCTTCTCTCCCTGTGTATCACTCTGTTAAATAAACAAATAAATAAAATCTTAAAAAAAATTTAAAAATAAAAAAATAAACATTAGGCCACAAAGTAAACTTTAATTCTAAAAGTGTTAACAGTTTCTCTCTCTCTTTTTTTTAAGAAATGTTTTGTTTATTCATTTATTTGATAAAGAGAAAACATAAGAAGGGGGAGGGGCAGAGGGAGAGAATCTTAAGCAGACTCCCCACTAAGTGTGGAGCCCAACTTGGGACTCGATCCCATGACCCTAAGATCATGATCTAAATGGAAATCAAGAGTCAGATGCTTAACCAACTGGGCCACCCAGGCGTACCACTAACAGTGTCTGATCAAAAGAAAAAAAAGAATGATAGAAACAGAAACAAAAAATTCTAGAAATTAATAACAAAATTAAAATGGTACCATCTACACATTTTTTGAATCACTTAACCTGTATAAAACTAAAGTTCTGGAATATCTTGATAATGATGAAAAAGAAAGTATTACTTGCTAGAACCCAAAGAATGCAGTACTCACTGAAAAATCATAGTCTTAAATATTTATATTAATAATATGAATTAAATGTATCAAGCAACCAATTAAAGAAGTTAGGAAAGAACAAAATAAATGAAAAAAAAGTAAGAAAGAAAGACTAATAAAATTAAAACCAGATAATATAAATCAGAAAGCAGAACAAGAGTATTATAAAAATACCCAAAAGCCTGTGTTTGGAAAACACCAATAAAACAAATAAACTGAAAAATAAATTAATCAAGATAAAAAGGGGGAAAAGCCCAAATGAATAAAATAAGAAATGAGGAAGGGGATATAATGTAAATAAAAAATTTTTTTAATTTAAAGAAAAACTGCTTTGCTCAATTTATTGTCCCACATTTCAAAATACAGGTAAAATGGTAATGTTTCAAAAATATGTAAATTATAAACATTAACTCCAGAAAATATGAATGTACTAATTATCATTAAAAAAAAAGGAAAAGAAAAGAAGGGAAGGAGGGGTGGGAGGGAGGATGGGAGGAAATAGTGTCAAAGAGCTCTTTCTTAAAAACACCAGGCTCAGGCAGCTTTACAGGAAACTTTCTACAAGAAATTCCTTTAAGGAAATGATAATTCCAATGTAATTAAACTGATCCAGAACATTAAAAGAAGAAAAACTTCATTTATTTAAAAACAAACTCACTTATTAATGTACAGTTTAAATCAGATTTACTCAGAATGAGGAAGCACATTAAAAGGCTAGATAACCGTATTCCCGGAATGCAAAGACGGTTCAATATTAGAAAAAAATCTACCAATACAATCCACGATAGCCATAGAGGCAAACAATAATATGGTTATCACTATAGATGCTGGAAAAGCATTTAGAAATTAAAAAGAAACGTTTTTATTAAAAACAACTTTTGAATGAAGGACGTAGAGGTGTTTATTTTCCTGCCATGCTTAAGGAACATAACCAAAATAAAGAAAAATTGGTGGGTTGTTATGGAGTCACATCAGCATCACAGCAGCATGTGTCATTCCTTTTTTCTCTCCCCACCATGTACAACTAATTGGACATCCACAACACAGCATACCAGGACAGCCAAGAGATCTGTCCATCTGTGCACCTGAAGGTGAGTGGACCCGACTGCAGAGGGAGGGGTGGTGGCAGAGAAAGGGTGGGCTGCCCCAACAAGCAGCCAGCACCACCTTTCTGCCAGAGGGGTGGAGGGTGAAGGCAGTGAGTGGTGGTCCGCCTGGCTATGTGCCTCCCAGCTGGAGGGACCAGTTGCTGTCTCTGAGGAGACCACAGGGATGGGGGAGAGGAAGAGAGACTGAAAGAGGACCATCCCCACTTCAGGATCCCCCTATGGAGCAGTTGGCACACCCCTATGGAGCAGTGCCCCAAGCACTGAGTACACACCTTCCCTACTCACCCTTGCTCTGCCCCAACCTTTTGCTTTTCTAAAAAGGAATAGTGCTCCCAACCTGAGTAGACCTGCAGATCCCTTACCAGAAGCCAAAAACTTGTGCTATAGCGCCACCTTCTGGAAAACAAAAGGAAGGTTCCTAACTATAGACCTGTTGAATTGAACTGTTAGAATCCAAGTAAACAAAACCTTGCCTACATAAAAAAGGTGTTCACTACTTCAAATGCAGTGGCAGAACCACTTCTCTTCAAACACTGTGAAAAATCACAGTAATATGAAAACAATCACAGTAACATGGTAATACAAAAATAAAATGACAATTTTCCAGCAACCAAACCCAAAGATATGGAATATTGTAACCTAACTGATAATTTAAAATACTTGTTGTAAAGAACTTCAACAAGCCACAAGAAAACTCAGTTAGATGATACAGTGATCTCAGCAATAAAACTAATAAACAGAAGCAATGCTTTACCAAAGAGACTGAAATTCCAGAACAGAAATTCTGGAGCTGAAGAACTCAATAAATGAGATGAAGAATGCATTAGAATGTACTGGAAATACAGCAGATCATATGGAAGAGAGTTCTAAGACAGAAATATAGAAAATATTCTGGCATAAGAGACAAGAGAACTGAAATGTTAAATAGTGAAGAAATCATGTGAATCATCTGACTCTATTAGAAAAGCCAACATAAGAAAACTGGGTATCCCAGAAGGAGGAGGGAGGGGAAGGGAAGAGGGACTGTTTAGAGAAATGAGCTGAGAACTTCCCACTCCTGGGGGAGGAACTGTGAACATCCAAGTTCACAAGACTAGCAGAACAACTTATTATCTCAATGCAAAAAGACCCTCTCCAAGACACATTATATTAAAACTGTCAAAAGCCAATAAGAAAGAAAGAATTTTAAAGACAGTGAAGGGTGGGAGAGGGGGGAGACAGTAACCTACAAAAGTACCCTTGTTAGGCTATCTGCAGATTTCTCAGCAGAAACTCCACAGGCCAGGAGAGAGAGGAATGACATATTCAAAGTACTGGGAGATAAAAACCATCAGCCAAGAATATCTGGCAAAGTCATCCTTCAGAAATGAAGGAGAAATAAAGGTTTTCCCAGACAAACAAAAGCTGAGAGAGTTCACTACTACTAGACCTGCCCTGCAAGGAATATTGAAAGGAGCTCTTCAGGCTGAAAGAAAAAGAGGAAAGTACTCAAAACTCTGATTAAGGCTATACATAGAATTAGAATACAATAACTCTTCTTTAGAATAGTATATTAACCTCTTAACTACAGCGTAAAGGTTAAAGGAGAAGAGCATTAAAGAGAACTATAGCTACTACAACTTGGAACATATTTTAGAACAAATGAACTTAACAGACATATACAAAACATTCCACCCAATAGTGACAGAATACACACTTTCTCAAGTGCACCTGGAACATTCTCCAGGATAGATTATCTTAGTCTACAAAACTTATCTTAGGAAATTTAAGAAGACTGAATCATAACAACTATCTTCTCTGACCACATGGTATAAAACCAGAAATCAACAAGAGGAAAAATCTAAAAATACGTGGAAACTAAACAACACATTTCTAAACAACCACTGGACCAAAGAAGAAATCAAAAGGGAAATAAAAAATTATCTCAAAACAAATGAGGATGAAAACATAACATCGAATACTGTGGGATATATCAAAAGCACTTCTGAGAGGAATATTTATAACATTAAGTGCATATAGTAAGAAATTAGGAAGATCTCAAACAACAAATTTTATATAAAAGAAAACAAACTGAGCCCAAAGTTAACAGAAAGAAGGAAAAAGTAAGCATAAGAATGGAAATAAATGAAATAGAAACCAGAAAAATAACAGAAAGGATCAGTGAGACTAAGAGCTGGTTTTTCAAAAAGATAAACAAAATTGGAAAACCTTAAATTAGATTAATTTAAAAAATAGAGAAGACTCAAATAAAAAATTTAGAAATGAAAGAGAAGAACTTAGAAGAGATACTATAGAAATGCACAGAATCATGAGACTACTATGAACTATGCCAACAAATAACGTAACTGAGGAAAAATGACTACATTTCTAGAAACTCACAACCTAAGGAGACTGAATCAGGAAGAAATAGAAAAGCTAAAGAGTAGCTTAACTAACTGTAAAGAGATTGAATCAGTAAAAAACAAAACAAAACAAAACAAAACTCCGAACACAAAAAATTTCAAGAGCAGACAGCTTCATTGGAAAATTCTACCAAACATGTAAAGAACAATTAATACCAATTCTCTTCAAACTCCTCTAAAGTATTAAGAAGAAGGGAATGCTTCCAAACTCATTCTATGAGGCCGTCATCACTTTGATTAAAAAACCAGACAGGGGTACCACAAGAAGAGAAAACTATAGACCAATATTCCTGATGAATATCAATGCAAAAATTCTCAAAACAGTGTTAGCAAATCAAATTCATGAACATATTAAAAGGATTATACAGCATGACCAGGTGGGATTTATCCCTGAGATGCAAAAATGATTCAATGTACACAAATCAATAAATGTAATTCACCACATCAATAAAATGAAAGATAAAAATCACATGATCATCTTAATAGATACAGAAAAAAGCATCTGGCAAAACACAGCATCCTCTCATGATAAAAACCTTT